CACAGAACAGAATCTTTCTGCCTCTACTCACTCTATCCTAGGCAAACACAGAGGAAGAATCCCCACAGTCTCCTCCACACCTGTACTGCAGAGTGGGTGGTTTGCTGCTGTTGACAGTCCTCCCCTGCATGAACAGGAGCAGAGATGATCCCCCTTCCCTCTCCCCTCCCCACTGGGCACTGCATTTGCATCCCTCAGCAGACAAGGAAGAGACACTTCTGAAAGTGATAAAAGCAGTGTAAAAAGTGAAGTTGAATCTCTCATTCATTGTTGGTAGGAATGTAAAATGATAGTTTTTCTGAAAAACAATTTGGTAGTTTCTTGTAAAGCTAAATACACACTTATCATATGACTCTGAAATTCTACTCCCACTATTTGCCCTACAGAAAGGAAAACTTTTATTTGCATAAAGCCTGTACGTGAATATTCATAGCAACTTTATATGCTATAGTTGGATTAATATTCCACTAATATTCCACTTTATATGCTATAGTTGGATTAATATTCCACTAATTTTTGGAACTGTTTTCTATTTAGCCTTTGTTTCTTCTTTTTGCCTTCCCCTCTTTTTTCTGCCTTCTCCTATTTTACATGACTCTATTTTTTTTCTTTTTTTAGCACAACGATGATACTTAAAATATTTTTAGTAGGTGCCTTAGAGACTGCAATAAACATTTACAACTATTTAAATCCACTTTCAAATAGCGCTATACCACTTCACAGGTAGGTCAGGTATTTTAAAAGATTATTCCCAGGTTCTCTCATCGCTGATTGCATTACTGTCATTCATTTTACTTAAGCATAAGCTATATTCATCCAACACATTATTATATTATTATTTTGATCAAACTGTTAGGTTAGATAAGTTAAGAGAAATAAAATGAAATGTTTTCTTTTACCTTCATTTATTCCTTGTCTAACACTTTTCCTTTCCTTGTGTAGATTTGACTTTCTGATCTAGATCATTTCCCCGATCTCTGAGGAACTTCTTTTAACATGTCTTATCTACTGGCTGCAAATCTTCATCTCAGAAAGCCTTATCTCCTTCACCTGTGAAAGATAATTTCATTGGACACAGAATTCTAGATGAGTGCATTTCTTTTCTTTCAACACTTGCATATTTCACTCTACTTTCTTCTTGCCTTAATGGTTTCTCTTGTTTTCTGAGATTTATTTATTTATTTGAGAGAGAGAGAGAGAGAGAGAACATGAGCAGGGGAGGTGCAGAGAGAGGGGGACAGATCCACAATGAGTTCTGTGATGCAGGCAGAGGACCTGATGGGGGGCTCAAACTCATGAACCCTGAGATAATGACCTGAGTTGAAGTCAGCCACTTAACCGACTGAGCCACCCAGGCACCCCTTGCTTAAATAGTTTCTAAAGAGAAGTCTGATGTAATTTTTATCCTTGTTTCTGTAGAACAGGTAAAGTGTTTTTTTCCCCCTGGCTTCTTTCAAGATTTTCTCTTTGTCTTGTTTTCTGAAGTTTGAATATTATATGCCTAGATACAGATTTTTCAGTATTTATCCTGCATGTTTCCTTAGTGTCCTGGATCTGTGGTTTGGTGTCTGTTAGTAATTTTGGAAAATTCTCAGCCATTATTACTACGAATATTGTTTCTGTTTCTTTCTCTTTTCTTTCTTTCTTTCTTTCTTTCTTTCTTTCTTTCTTTCTTTCCTTCTGCTATTTCTGTTAAGTGTATTTTACACCTATTGTAATATTCTCACAGATCTTGGTTATTCTGTTCTTATTTTAATTCTTTTTCCTTTTTGCTTTTCAGTTTGAAAATGTCTATTAACATATCTTTAGACTCACTGATTCTTTTCTCAGCCATGCCCATTAAGCGGATGAGCCCATCAAGTATATTTTTCATTTCTTTTACACTGATTTTGATTTCCAGCATTTTCTTTTGATTTTTAGAGTTTCCATTTCTCTGCTTAGAGTATCCATCTGTTCTCCCACATTATCCATGTTTTCCTTTAAAGCCTTTGTTTATTTTATTTTATTTTATTTTATTTTATTTTATTTTATTTATTTTATTTTATTTTAAAGTAGCCTTCACACCCAGGTCAGAGCCCAATGCAGGGCTCGACTTATGACCCTGAGATCAAGACCCTGGGCTGAGATCCAAGAGTCGGATGCTTAACCAACTAAGCCACCCACGTGACCCTATCATAATTATTTTATTTTTTTATTTTTATTGACTAAGTTTATTTACTTATTTTGAGAAAAAGAGAGAGAGAGAGAGTCCCAAGCAGACTTTGTACTATCAGCAAGGAGCCCAACGTGGGGCTCAAACTCGGGGAGTGTGAGATTTTGACCTGAGCTGAAATCTGGCACCTAGCCTAGGGAGCCACCCAGGTGCCCCTATCATAGTTATTTTAAGTTCAGGTCTGATAATTCCAAAATCTCTGCTATATCTGAACCCGGTTCTGATGCTAGTTTTGTCTCTTGAGACTATGTTTATTGTCTTTTAGCATGTATTGTAATTTTTTTTTGTGAAAAGCTGGAATGTTGTATTAGGTAAAAGGAACTGAGATAGACCTTTAGTGTGAGGTGCTGTATTTATGTGGCTAAGAGTTAGGCTGTACTCACTGTTTGCTGCAGCTGTGGTTTCAGAAGATAAAATCTCCTCTAATGTCCCCGTTTTTGTGTCCCTGTTTTGTCTCTGTTGTCTTTGGGTTTCTCCAGAGAGTCCTTATTAAATGGGTCTCAGGTTTGCAGTTCTTCCAGTGCAAGCTCCTATTATTACACAGAAGCCCTGTTAACAGGGTGGTGAGATGCAGGGAGAGAGGGGAAGAGAAAGGGGAAGCATTCCAAGATCCTATAATCAGGTCTCAGCCTTTTGTAAATCTGTGTCTCTGGGTTGTGAGTTTCACAAATGTTTCTCAGCTTCCTTCCCCCTGTCCAACCTCAGGGGATATAAGAGGGCTAGAGGGGGCTATATTTGGGTATCTCCCCTCAGGTCAGCTAGGCTTTAGTAAAAACCCCAAACAAACCCTAGTAAAAATTAGTTTCCCTTGAGGGCAGTCCTTGTTAAGGAGAACAGGGAGCTCTGGGCATTTTTCAGAATGGTTACTTTCCTTTGTCTCCCTGCCAAAAGCAGGAGGGCTTTTTCTCTGGTCTTTACAGAACCTAGGAAAACCTCTGGAGGGAAAACTCAACAGCAGTTCATTACAAGGGCAAATTGTATCAATGCTAAGAATGAAAAGTACAGGGTACTATGATAGTACATAATAAGGGAAACTGAGAAAGTCTGTGGGAGTAAGGAAGGTTTTCCTAAGGAAAATAACTTTTCCTAAGGGAAAACTTTTTTGGCAAAAGAAATAGCATGTGCAATTGCTCAGAGTTAAAAAGGAATATGGAATATTTAAGTGAATGAAGGAAAAATCAGGGTGTCTAGGTTGCCGACAGAGTGGGGAGAGTGGCTCCAGATGAAACTGGAAAGGTAAGGAGGCCAAGAATTTGATAGTGATTCTAAGAACAACGAGAAGCAACTTTAGGATTACTGGAGTCAAAGACTGGCAATGAAGCAGGAAAAATAATGGACATTTTCTGAAGGTTGTTCCTTTCAGTTGCCCTTTTCCCCTAATTTATCACTTTAGTTTTTCTTTCACTTTGAGTCTATGCCAAGGGTTCTAATCTAGGGAGTTAGACTTCAAGGAGTCCCTGAACCAGCAGAGATTATATGCAACATTTTGTGTGCACAGACACGTGTATTTTGTGAAGGGTACAGGTTCACAGTTTTATTGAAGAATTCTGCAATTCTCCCACCAAAATTGAGAGTAAGCGATATTATGTTCTTCCATGAAGTTAAAATTAATGACCAACATCTTGCTAAATGGAAGTTGTATCAATGTAAAGTGTCAAAACCAAGTATTAGTTCATTTAAAAAGAGAGGGATACAGGACAAATAAACGTTAAAGACTAATTAATATACAGTTTAGGGGCGTCTGGGTGGGTCAGTCGGTTAAGTGTCTGACTTCGGCTCAGGTCACCACCTCATGGTTCACGGGTTTGAGCCCTGCGACAGGCTCTGTGCTGACAGCTCTGAGCCTGGAGCCTGCTTTGGATTCTGTGTCTCCCTCTCTCTCTCTCTGCCCCTCCCCTGCTTGCTCACTCTCTCTCAAAAATAAGCATTTAAAATATTTTTTAAAATATATATACACTTTATAGTCAAGGCCAGATATCGTCCCATCCTTTATACCTTCTTCAAGTTGGCGGTAATATAAATCAATAGTACTAGTCATGACCTTAAATATTGCAAAATTATGAATTCATACTTACATTATCAAAAAAGGATTAATTATGCCAATATAGTCTTAGGGTTAATTTGAATTTCCATTATTAGAGAACAAGTAACCCATGAACTGTATTATTTATATAGGATAACCTTCTGCGTTGCCTTCGCCTTCAAGGTGATATTCTCTCTACTCATCTGCCACGCTTCATAAGGGGGGAAGAGCAAAAACCTGGACTTCCTTGTTTATCCTCCAGTCTCCTGAGTTTGGTTGGCGCAGATGAGACACATTTGCCTTCTAAGCGCGAGTCTTGAACTCTCCTAGTCCACCCATCTCATTCATACCTGCACCTCAGGATTCCCAAGGTCTGTCTGTGCCTGGGTCTGGGTCTCTCTGCCAAACACACACACACACACACACACACACACACACACACACACACACTCGCGCGCGCGGCTGCGTGCGCGCGCATTCTGTAAATGCATTCTTTCTCCAGGAATGCACGACTCCCCCCTTTCCGAGCAACATTCAGATCCTGAAAGTTCTCCAGCGCTGGATCAGGACTCGAGGCTCCTCCTTCTTTGCTCCTGCTGCGCCAGACCGGTTCTCAGGTTTCCAACCAAGACTGGTCAACTGCAGGTCGGATTGGCTGCGGTAGGAAGAGGAGCAGATGCTCCACCAAATCACAAATCTAGTTTTTAATTTTACTTGGTCTCCTCCCTAGAATCCTGGCAACTGGTGTGCATTGTTTCTCTTAGAGGAGAAACCCTTCCTTGCCTGGGTTGCTAAGGAGATGGGACGCTGTAACTTGCTGAGCAGTTGGGACCCTGAAATCCTTTAACTGACCTCAGCAAAGCGACTGCCCTGCGTTGCCTCTTTCCATATCTGCACTCCTCCTTCATCCAGAATTTTTTTTTCTTGACTCTTTCCATGGAAGACTCGACGTCCCCGAAGCGAGAAAAAGCAAACCAAGATCCAAGGGAAGCAGGGCAGCCATGGGAAGAAGTAACAGCAGCTTCTTCCCAAGGTCTTGAGTCTGGGTTATCTGAGCCCTTGGAATTGGAGCAGGGGCTGGAAACTGGACCCCAACCCAGAAGCCCTCCTCAGAGCCCACAGTCCAGAGCCAGCATCCCTCTGGATGACCTCACAGGACCAGGTGCATCATATCCACCTTCCCCTCCACAGGAGGCCTCTTACACTCCTTCTCCCCCGGCTCTGGCCAGACAGGACCTTGCAGTGCCATGGCAGTCAGACAAAACCGCTAGTGTGAATCCCGAAGCTGGGACACCTCACTTCCACCATTTGGAACAATCGTCTGATAAAGGAGAATCGACTGCTTCTCACACATTCCAATCAGAGGGAAGCACCTTCCGACAGTCTCAGCAAACCAAACATCACCTGTATGGACCAGAGGATGTGAACTATAACAACTCTAAACAAAAAGAGCTGAGATTTAACATCTTTCAGGACGAAGACTCAAACAGTAACTATGATCTGGATTACGCTGAACCTGGGGTCTCTGAACTGGCCCCCAGCATGCTTGAGATCACCATTCAGAGTGCTAAGGCTTACTTACAGAAGACTAGTAGCAAGTCTGGCTTAAATTTGTAAGTCCTAAAGGGTTAAGGGGGGGGGGGGGGGGGGTGCGTGTGTGTGTGTGTGTGTGTGTGTGTGTGGATTTGGCAAAGAAAAGGGGGTGTGAGTATCTGTGTATGAGACTTTGTTTCTGTGGGTGAATGGAAATGTATTTGAAAAGTTTGCATTGGTAGGAGAGAGTTGGTGGCTTAATAACTCTTTGCATCACAGGACTCAAAATAGGTCTTTGGTAGCAATTCTTTTCATTTCTTTACAAACCCTTGGCACACAGAAATAAAACCTAGGAGTTATGGAATCTTGGGTTTACAGAGATGATGAAGATAGTGAAGTCCAAGAATCTCTCCAAGATGCTTTTATAAAAAGTAATTGTCTACCAGTGATAGGGAGTGGATCGCCAATTATCTCACTTATCTCAGAACTGTCTTGATTTGAGCACTGAATATTCTGTATCCCGAGAAAACCCTCAGTCCTGGATAAACTAGAAGAATCGATCACAATAATTTTAAGTCTGAAGAATTCTTTATTTAATGTGAGAAATCTTGCCCCAAACCTGAGATTGACACTTTAAAATATTTCTTCTAAAGTACAGTTTTTAAACTATAATTTACTAAGCTTCAAGGATGTGATTTATCCTTAGTGGTTATTCTACTTGAATTTCTCATTTGAACTTATTGTCATAATTGTCTGGGTTAAATAACAAGCATAAATTTACAAACTTTGTTAAAATTCCAGAAAAAATCATACATACTTGAGAGTTAGTTAACTAAAATTTAAAACTGAACACAAACATAAAAATGGAAAATTTTCCTTTATGGAATTATTTTAGAACCGATATTAATTAAATATCAAATTTTATTTTATTTCCAAATGCCAAGTCTCTGAGGTAATATCTTCTATAATATTCACTATTGTCTTCTAAGTATTTTAGAGCCTGCAGTTAAAAACCATTTGGTGAAAATGACTTTAACTCTATCTCTTATATGCAATTCTTATTTGACAGCCATGAAAAATATTGTTTTTGTTGCAATTGAAACAGTCTTTTACTAAAATACAAGATCTGACATTGGTTTTGCTCTGTTGAATAAAATTAGCGTACAAAAAAGAATTGCTTCCTCCTTTTCTGCCATTCTATTAAAACAAATTATTAAACCTCCCAAATTGAAAAAGCTATAACTATGAATTAAAATTCACATTTTATAATTTGACACAAAGGCATTTTCAGATGTGGACCTCTTAAAAAACCAATGCAATATTTTGCCTGAAGAACTATAAATAAAGCACAAGCAGACTTTATATTAAAGCCTGAAAAATAAAATAAAATTTGGACTTAGAGTCCTCAATTCAGTGGCATATATGGCCCTACTGGAGCAAATCAAGAATTCCAGTTACAACCCAGCTGCCTAGTAAGCAATAATATTTTTATCCTGACTCATTCTCCAGGAGTTTCAATACTGAACAAATATTAAGGAAGCATGATGAAGTTTTTTTTTTTTATTTATATATGAAATTTATTGTCAAATTGGTTTCCATACAACACCCAGTGCTCATCCCAAAAGGTGCCCTCCTCAATACCCATCACCCACCCTCTCCTCCCTCCCACCCCCCATCAACCCTCAGTTTGCTCTCAGTTCTCAATAGTCTCTTATGCTTTGGCTCTCTCCCACTCTAACCTCTTTTTTTTTTTTTTTTCCTTCCCCTCCCCCATGGGTTCCTGTTAAGTTTCTCAGGATCCACATAAGAGTGAAACCATATGGTATCTGTCTTTCTCTGTATGGCTTATTTCACTTAGCATCACACTCTCCAGTTCCATCCACGTTGCTACAAAAGGCCATATTTCATTTTTTCTCATTGCCACGTAGTATTCCATAGTGTATATAAACCACAATTTCTTTATCCATTCATCAGTTGATGGACATTTAGGCTCTTTCCATAATTTGGCTACTGTTGAGAGTGCTGCTATGAACATTGGGGTACAAGTGCCCCTATGCATCAGTACTCCTGTGTCCCTTGGATAAATTCCTAGCAGTGCTATTGCTGGGTCATAGGGTAGGTCTATTTTTAATTTTCTGAGGAACCTCCACACTGCTTTCCAGAGCGGCTGCACCAATTTGCATTCCCACCAACAGTGCAAGAGGGTTCCCGTTTCTCCACATCCTCTCCAGCATCTAGAGTCTCCTGATTTGTTCATTTTGGCCACTCTGACTGGCGTCAGGTGATACCTGAGTGTGGTTTTGATTTGTATTTCCCTGATAAGGAGCGACGCTGAACATCTTTTCATGTGCCTGTTGGCCATCCGGATGTCTTCTTTAGAGAAGTGTCTATTCATGTTTTCTGCCCATTTCTTCACTGGGTTATTTGTTTTTCGGGTGTGGAGTTTGGTGAGCTCTTTATAGATTTTGGATACTAGCCCTTTGTCCGATATGTCATTTGCAAATATCTTTTCCCATTCCGTTGGTTGCCTTTTCGTTTTGTTGGTTGTTTCCTTTGCTGTGCAGAAGGTTTTTATCTTCATAAGGTCCCAGTAATTCACTTTTGCTTTTAATTCCCTTGCCTTTGGGGATGTGTCGAGTAAGAGATTGCTACGGCTGAGGTCAGAGAGGTCTTTTCCTGCTTTCTCCTCTAGGGTTTTGATGGTTTCCTGTCTCACATTCAGGTCCTTTATCCATTTTGAGTTTATTTTTGTGAATGGTGTGAGAAAGTGGTCTAGTTTCAACCTTCTGCATGTTGCTGTCCAGTTCTCCCAGCACCATTTGTTAAAGAGACTGTCTTTTTTCCATTGGATGTTCTTTCCTGCTTTGTCAAAGATGAGTTGGCCATACGTTTGTGGGTCTAGTTCTGGGGTTTCTATTTTATTCCATTGGTCTATGTGTCTGTTTTTGTGCCAAGCATGATGAAGTTTTAAACAAACTCCATTTCTGTTCACCTACAAGAATAGCAATATTTTGGGAAAGAAGGATTTATTCTTCACATGTATTTTTAAATGGCCCTTCACATTGGTTGCCCACATAATCTGCATATTTTTTCTTCGATATTCCTGAGACCCATTAGATAAATAAAGATATAGAGAAAAAATGAAAAATAATAGCTACGGGCAACTAGTAGAAAGTGGGCAGTTATTGAGTATCTATTTTGTTTCACTTTAATAAGGGAGAGGATGCATTAAAACAACAACATCAAAAACTTAGTTTTGGCCACGTAAGAACCTAATGCAGTTGCTGAGTGGGAAATAGATCATCTACACAATTGCATAGCAGTGGATCGGTGATCTCAGAGAAACCCATTGAATGGTTTTCAGGAATGACTAGAGTGATAAGTCCTCAAGGACAAAATATGTTTTAAATGATTCTTGAGAGAAATTATATATATGGCACATAGCAAGCAAAAGCTCTCAGGTTAGGACTTAACAACTATGTGAACTGATTTTGAGTAGATTTACCTAACTGGGGCAGACATTCTAATTGAGCTAATTATTAGAAATGAAACTGGCGAGATGTAATCCTTATCTGCCAGAGGAGAAATTCAGGCAAGTTTGCAAATTGGACAAAAGAATTTCTATCTAACTGAAGAGTACTTTGACAGACATTTTTTGCTCTTAACTAGTAAATTCACACAGAAAATCTGGTATTTGAAAAAACACACCTGAGCAGTATAAAATGTAATGAATTAACCACTTTTAGGCAGTTTCACTAATTCAGTTATGAAATAAGTACCTAGGACGGTGTTGTTGTTGTTGTTGTTGTTGTTGTTGTTTTTAAATGTTTGTTTATTTATGAGAGAGAGAAACAGAATGCAAGCTGGAGAGAGGCAGAAAGAGAGGGAGACACAGAATCTGAAGCAGGCTTCAGGCTCTGATCTGTCAGCACAGAACCCGACGTGGGGCTCGAACTCACAAACCGTGAGAGCATGACCTGAGCCAAAGTTGGATTAACCGACAGAGCCACCCAGGTGCCCCCTTAGGGCTCTGTTTTTAATAGAATAGGACAAAAGTGTTAGAGTACATCACATTTTAATAAAGATGAATAATATTTGATGACATTTTTCAATTGTGTGTGGGGAAGGGTTGCAATATGTAATGTATTTCTTATAGGTCTAAAAACCACTGAAGTAGATAATTGGTCCAGGAAATGGAAAGGAAGAGAACATATTTAAGAGTCAACAGGATTTAGAAATCAAATTGGATTTGATGAGTGTAGGGGAAAGGGGATGAAAAAGAAGTTAAGGGGAAAAAATGTAAAATAAGGTTAATCTCTTAAATATATAACTAAGAGATTTCAAATCAAATAAAATGTGAAAATGTATCTGATGCAAAATATGTACCTTGCCATAATATGTGTTTTAATAAGTTAAATATTGATATCACATCGGAGGCATTTCTTAAGCAAAATTCTAGCATAGGTTCTTTCTGGCAGTGGTGAAATTAACGGTGTTTATCTATTTACGATATCTGAAGGCTTTGAGTTCTTGAAGTTTCCTAGAAACCAACTAACTGAATCTGCATGTGATGCTTCTTCAAAGGCTTTTTGACAAGGATATTATCTGGAATTTTCTCTTTTCGGGTAGGTATGATCATCTTTCTGATATGCTTGCCAAGGTCTTAGATGAGCGTCCGGAAAATGCTGTGGATATCATTGAAAGTATCAGCCAAGATGTGAAGATGGGACATTTTAGGAAAAAATTAGATACACTCCAAAATGAGAATGAGATGCTTCCAACATATGAGATAGCAGAGAAGCAAAGGGCTCTTTTTCTCCAGGGAAATTTGGAAGGAGCTGACCAAGAACTAGAAGATGAAATAGTAAGTCACTGCTGTAAATTTGAATAGCTCAGTCTTAGAGTTTTATTTCAGATGAGTGGGTGTGGGTTTAAATTCATATCAACTGTCTTTTATAGTTTCCTAAATAGTATGTGTAACCTCATTTCACACCATACATTTCCCTGTTACACTTTCTGATTTTTTTACATTGTGTTTCACAGGGTTAGTTGTTTGTTATATGTTTGTGGGGTTGAGCTCCTTGATGTCAGAGAAAATGATCTCTTCATCTTTTATATCCTCCAAAGTACCTGGGACAGATCTGGGTCTATAGCTGTTTCTTATTAATTTATTAAATGAATTAATTAATGTCAGATAGTTTAAAATTGGACTTTAAAACAAGTTGCATATTTTCCCCTTTAATTTACTAGAATAATTAGAAGTACCTCTAATGTCATTTGCATTCTTTTCCAAGGCAACTTCCTCATATTATGTCTTGATATTATGCATGTTACATCAATGAGGCATGATACGAGGGGAGAGGGATAAGATAGTTATTTTAATCTCTATAGACAAAGCGTTGAAAATATTTACAGAGAAAGCTGGTGACAGAGATAAAAAATTATCATTAGAGAATAAAATTAGTTGTACTACAGAAATTTTAGCTCCAAATATTTTTAAATAGTATCAAGCATGCTGTTTCCTGTATGTCCATATGCTTGTCATTTATACTACTGAGTAATTTACACTATACATCTACTGAGATTCCATGTTTTGTTAACCACTAGACTACTTAAATCTGCCTATATACTTGCAAATTTGATGTTTGGTGTAAGATAGTTTCAGAAAAGGATGGAAAGTTCAGTCAGGAAAAAGATAGGAGGGAGGGATCTAGACAGTAGGTACACCATCTAGGGCTCTGCAACCTTTGTGTGGGGATCCAACCTGACACAGTGGGATACAGGGCACTCAGAAGGAACAGGTGATAGGTGCCAAGGAGTTGACATCGGCTGCACCTTTTCTGAAAATATCTTACGCCAAACATGGGGTTAAATAGCCACATACAGTGATGATAAGTCTGGGGGCAATCAGTATGCAGGGATTAAGCAGATAGGTAGACACTGTTATGGAGGAGCTTATTAAAGAGAAGTCAGACTCCACTATTAGAATGGGGCATTGGGCCATCTATAGGCACAGTATTACAAAGTAGGGGTCTGCATCCTAAAACTAGGGAAACTAGGGGTGAGAACACAAACAAGGTGTTTTGGTCCTGGAACTTGAGCTCTTTAACCAGATTTCATAAATTCTTCCTAAGGAAGAGTAGGATTGGTTTTAGGGCCAGGAATAGCTGAGCCATGAGATGAAGATTAAAAGTTCTATCTCAAAGAGTAGAAAGATGCAGGAATAGAAAGACACATAGATCTTGGAAGCACTGAAATGTGAGCTTTGTGACCAACTCATTAACTCATTAAGTTGGAATGCCAACTTAATGTTTAGAGTGTTCGTGCTTCTATTACTGTCTTTGACCACATCAGAATTCCTGTTCCTAGTTTTAGCATTCATTTATTCATTTACCCATTAATTCACAAACATTGTGACTACCTACTGCACGCCAGGTACACGTGAAAAAGATACACACATGAAATGATATGCACAGAAATGTATTTATTTTTTTTTTAATTTTTTTAACGTTTATTTATTTTTGAGACAGAGAGAGACAGAGCATGAACAGGGGAGGGGCAGAGAGAGAGGGAGACACAGAATCTGAAACAGGCTCCAGGCTCTGAGCTGTCCAGAGTCCGATGCGGGGCTCGACCTCAGGGACCGCGAGATCATGACCTGAGCCGAAGTCAGACGCTTAACTGACGGAGCCACCCAGGCGCCCCTGCACAGAAATGTATTTAAATGTTTATTTTTGAGAGGGAAAACACAAGCAGGGGAGGGGGCAGACAGAGAGAGGGAGGGAGGCACAGAATCTCAAGCAGGTTCCAGGCTCTGAGCTGTCAGCATAGAGTCTGATGCAGGGCTCCAGTTCACAAACCATGAGATCATAACCTGAGCTGAAGTCGGATGCCCAACCAACTGAGCCACCCAGGCAACCCATATACACAGAACTTCCTGACTTTAAGTTGCTCACGTCTACTGAAACAAGCAAAAAGGACTGTAAAGGTATTTAATTAGTGCAATAGAGATAGCCTCATATGGTAGGGCAAACAGAAGATTTCATCTGAATTAGGATCCTAGCTCAATTACTTACTTGCTGTGTGACTATGAGTAAATGATTAAACCTTTACAAGCCTCAGGAGTAATCAGATGGCAACAACTCAAGGGGAGAGTACTATTTATGAAGGGTTTGGCACATACTGGGAGCTCAATGGATAGCAGCAATTGTTATTATGTTGTTTTGACAATCTATGAAACAGAATGGAATGACTAACTCCACTACTGGGAATTGTCCTGGAGGTGGTATTTCATTTGGGTCATGAAGGAGAAGTAGAACTTCATGAGATAAAGACTGTAAGGAATAAATTCTGAGCAAAAAGAACAACAGAAAGTCAGGAAACATTATTTAATGTTTGGGAAAGTGAAGCATGAGGGAACAATGAAAACCAAGCAAACAAGATGCATAAAGCCAGACTGCTCTTGTGCATTGTGCATTGATAAGAAAGTTTTTTCTTCTCCACAATGGGAAGTCAGTAGAAGCTTTTACTAGAAAATAGCATAGCCTGTCTTGTGGTTTAGAAAGGTAACCCTGGTGATAATGTGGAGGAGAATAGAAAGAGAAAGATTAGAACAGGGCATTCAGAGCCTTCTGTGACAGGACAAGTAGTCAGGATGGAGACTCATATGGTAGAAATAAACTAAAGAGGAGGTAAGAATGCCAACAGCTTTTTAGGTGGTAGAATCAATATGACTGTAACTAATTAAGTACAAAAGAAGAAACAAGGATAATGGAATTTTCTAATTTGGGAAACTGAGTGAATGGTGATGTTATTGGCAAAGATAGGACATATACAAAAAAAGAGAAGATTTTGAGAGATACATGACTTCAATCTTAATCTGAGGTATATGTAGACTATTCAACTGAAATTTCTAGAAACTGGCTAGAAACATGGGTGTAGAACGTGGGAGAAAAGTCAGAGTAAGAGAGTTGGGTTTTAAACAACCCACATAACACTTGAAGTAATGTGGGAGGAATATGCCAATCACAAAGTACTGAACGATGGCTGAAATTTTGAAAACAGCAATATTTAGGACCCAAATAAGGAAAAGGAACCAATTAGAGACTAAGAATAAATAGTTACAGAAGGCACAGTAGGATCATGAGTGAGAGCCAGTGTAAAAACAGCATGGAGATTCCTCAAAAAATTAAAAATAGAAATACCATATGATCCAATAAGTCCACTACTGAGTACTTACCAAAGGAAAGCAAAAATACTAATTCAAAAAGCTATATGCACCCCTATGTTTATTGCAGCACTATTTACAGTAGCCAAGGTATGGAAGCAACCTAAATGTCCACTGAAAGACAAATGGATAAGGACACTGGAATATCACACAGCCATAAAAAATAATGAGACTGTCCCACTTATGACAGCATGGATGGACCTAGAGGTATTACACCAAGTGAAATAAGTCAGAATGAGAAATACAAATACCATATGATTTCACTCATACGTGGAATCTAAAAAAAACCCAACAGATTTATAAACAAACAAAAAGTAGAATCAGTTCTATAAATGCAGAGAACAAATTGATGGTTTCCAGAGGGAAGTGGGGGGTGGGGCATAGGCAAAATGGGTAAAGGGGAGAGGGAGATACAGGCTTCCAGTTATGGAATGAATAAGTCACAGAAATAAAAGGCACAGTATAAGGCATATCATCAATGATACTGTAATAGTGATGTATAGTGATGGATGGTACTACACCTGTAGTGAGCATAGCATAATGTAGAAACTTGTCTAATCACTTTGTGTCTATGTGGAACTAATGTACCATTGTGTGTCAACTACACTCAAATTAAAAAAAAAGAAAAACAAGTGAGGGGTGCAGTAGATGTCAAACATGAAAGAGATGAGGATTGAAAAAAGCCTTCATGCTTATTTTGACATCAAAATTACAGTAGAAGTAAGAACGGATCATTTGTAAGAGTAGCAAAGTGCTCTCAATTTCTCCATCTTCAAGGTCTAAAATTTGTCTAAAATTTGCAAGTGATCCCTCTCTTAGTTACGGTTATTTTCTACTTTCTCACAGATGTTTTCTTACAGTCTACTTGAGACTTTGCTTTTTCATGTCTCTGTATTTCTTTTATGAAAATGTTTTTTAAATTTTCTTCCTTATGTTAAATCCGAAAGTACTTATTGCAAGCAGGGGAAAACATCTGACTCAATTATGTTTTCAAAGGAAGTCATGTCTGAGCCCTTATTTTATTATATTTTCCTTTTATTTATCTTGTATATTACCCTATATAGAGGGCTATATTGATTTTTATTTACCCTATAGATTACCATATGTATATAATAAATATTTATTATTTATAAAAATATGGCAACATATACAAACATATATAAACATTTTTTCCAAATATATATAGGAGGTAGACTATACTTTATTATTTCGGGATTGTAAAGAGCCCACTTAAATATTTTTTATAAAAAGAGGATGTTGAATTTTTATTATTCATAGTAGCTTAAATTACCTTTACTTAAGATACACACAGATAACAAGGCAACTGTTATATTGACAAGTGTAAGACACAATAGAAGTCACATTTATAAGTAATAAGGGAAAAATTGACATACAGGAATTATCAGAGTTTGATCTAAATGTTGCAAGAAATGTCAAAGACATGGTGGCCAGAGAAAGTAAAGCTAACACCAAGATCTTTAAAAAGGAAACAGGAAGCAAGCAGTTCTCTTATAGATAAAACATTAACCACAGCATTTGTATCCCCAGGCAGAAAACGCTCTCCCAAATGTAATGGAGTCAGCTTTTTATTTTGAACAAGCTGGAGTTGGTTTGGGCACAGATGAGACTTATCGCATATTTCTTGCCCTCAAGCAGCTTACTGACACCCACCCCATCCAAAGATGTCGTTTCTGGGGCAAGATCTTGGGTCTGGAAATGAATTATATTGTAGCTGAAGTAGAATTCCGTGAGGGAGAGGATGAAGAGGATGTGGAAGAGGAAGATGTAACTGAAGAGAGGGACGATGCAGATAGCGAAGCTGATGAAGATGACGAAGACCAATTACCAAGGACCTTTTACAAGACCCCACAGGCTATACCAAAAGAAGAAAACAGGACGGGTGCCAACAAATATGTGTATTTTGTTTGCAACGAACCAGGAAGACCATGGGTGAAGTTACCCTCGGTTACGCCTGCACAAGTTGTTACTGCAAGAAAAATAAAGAAATTTTTCACTGGGCGTTTAGATGCTCCCATCATAAGCTACCCACCTTTCCCGGGAAATGAGAGCAATTACTTACGAGCACAAATTGCCAGAATTTCAGCAGGGACCCACGTCAGTCCTCTGGGATTCTATCAGTTTGGTGAAGAGGAAGGAGAGGAGGAGGAAGAGGCAGAAGGCAGACGAGACAGCTTTGAAGAAAACCCCGATTTTGAAGGCATCCAAGTGATGGATCTCGTGGAATCCCTATCCAATTGGGTTCATCACGTGCAACACATTCTGTCCCAGGTAAGGGTTTTCCAATTCTCAATCTATCAGCCAATCGGCAAATATTTGTTAAATTCCCTCTACAGTGTACAAATGTATACAAAACAAAGTTCTTCAGACCCTAGACAAAGAAACCTTTGAAAAACCCAATGACGACACAGGGTACTACATAATTGCCAAGTAGTATAGACCTGGGATCTTCAAACAAATTTTTATTTCCAAACAGAAATAAAGTAAGTATTTCTATGAGAATTTGACAAGTTATGTAAGGATTTCGATTTATGTATGTTGTGAAATTATGTGCTTTTAAAAAAAATTTTTTTAACGTTTTATTTATTTTTGAGAGAGACAGAGACAGAGTGCGAACGGGGGAGAGGCAGAGAGAGAGAGGGAGACACAGAATCGGAAGCAGGCTCCAGGCTCCAAGCTGTCAGCACAGAGCCTGATGGGGGGCTCGAACTCAGGAACCGTGAGATCATGACCTGAGCCGAAGTCGGATCCTTAACCGACGGAGCCACCCAGGCGCCCCATGAAATTATGTTTTATATGTTAAACATAGATAGGTACTTTAGTTTTGGGAACAGTTGTTTTATTCTATTTCTCTAATACATGGAGCTTTTATACCAAGAAAAATAATATATTATAACAAAAATGAAAACAAGCAGTGCTATATAGCACCTCTTCTGCCAGGTGCTCTTAACAGCACTTTCTGTATATTATCTCATGTAATCCTCCCAACTGTATAAAAGACATATTATCCTTATTTCACAGATGGGGAAATTGAGACAGAGAGTTTAGAAAATGTGACAAAGAGAATATAGCCAATAAGCAACAGGGTCAGATGTGAATGGGCAGAATGGATCCAGAGTCCATCCTCTTAATCACTGTGCTGTGCTGCCTCATCTGCAGGCAGAAAATCCTTACACTTTGATCTACGTAGGAGGTACTCTAATATGTCTATGGATAAGAGTTAACTAAATGAAAAATAGCCCCAAGCTTCCTTACCTGACTTTATTATCACATTTAAAAATTTGTTATTACTACTACTAATCGTACCTTACCACTTTCATATAAACTATTTATGAAAAATTAGTAAAATGCATTATTTTTTTCACAGGGGTTTGGCTAATTTTAAAATATATGTTACATGTTCTGTAACTTTAAGAAGTTGGCAAATTTCTGAAATAAATTGTACAATTTCTTTTTTTTTTTTTTTTTTTGCTAGACATAAACGATCAAAAACCTAGCACTTGGCATGTATGTTGAATGAATAAACGATTGACTGGTTAAATTCCCACACAGTAGGACATCTTGCAGATAATTGCTTCAATCCAAATAAATATTCCAATATTTCAAGATCCTCATGAGATTACTAAATCTTGTGATACTCATTCCCAGGGCCGCTGTAATTGGTTTAACCCCATACAAAAAAGTGAGGAGGAAGAAGAAGAGGAAGATGAAGAAAAAGAAGAAGAGAAAGGAGAAGAGCCTGACTATACAGAACAGGAAGTGGGGCCACCTCTTTTGACACCAATCTCTGAAGATTTAGGTAATTTTACACAGATTACATAATATACTGTGTATATTATATATACTATGTAGATTATATATATATGCATATATGATATAGTATGTGTAGCATCCATATATATATACTAGGTACTATAGTACATTTTTATATATGTATATATTACATACTATGTATATTATATGACAAATGGGAGTTGGTAACCTATAAAAAGTGGATAATAACCAAAATTTCCTCCTCTTTCCCCTTCATGTGTTTTGGGATAATGGGGAATAGAAAATATAGCTGGCCTCACTGCCAACTTTCTTGGACAGAGGGTGGAGGAGTGATGCAGGGAGGAAAAATAAATTGGCTGCAGATCTTACTGGAAATGCTGACAGTTATCTTGCGTATCATTCTTGTCTTGCATTTTGCAGTCCATAAAATATAGCCATAAACACATGACATAGTTACAGTAAAGTATCATATGAGGTACTGTGGCTTTTTAAAATCTACTACTATCTTCATATTCTTGTTTCTTCCTATTCGGTTCTGGGGCATTTTTGCTTGTAATCCTTGTCCTCTTCCATAATAAGAAAATTTTAATCTTTTATTTGGTCATTAAATAATATTCTCTCCACCTCATAGGCCTCCTCTCCCTTAGTAAAACTTTTCCCTGTTGCACAGATGGACACACACACGCGCACATACATGCATATAAATAATCAAATTTGTTGTTCCACAACATTCGTAAAATATCCTTCTGATTTTATGTTAAGCTGCTGATGTTTAATTTTTATGTCAAGTATGTGTGTTTTAAGATTTACAAAAAGAGGGGCACCTGGGTGGCACAGTCGGTTAAGCGTCCGACTTCAGCCAAGTCACGATCTCGCGGTCCATGAGTTCGAGCCCCGCGTCAGGCTCTGGGCTGATGGCTCAGAGCCTGGAGCCTGTTTCCGATTCTGTGTCTCCCTCTCTCTCTGCCCCTCCCCCGTTCATGCTCTGTCTCTCTCTGTCCCAAAAATAAATAAACGTTGAAAAAAAAAAAGATTTACAAAAAGAGCTTCTCTGTTACACAGTAGATCCTTGTCTATTTAAGAGTTAAGCTTTTGAATTTCTCTTTGGTTTACAGAAATCCAGAATATACCACCTTGGACAACACGGCTATCCTCAAATCTCATTCCTCAATATGCTGTTGCAGTCCTTAGATCCAACCTTTGGCCTGGGGCATATGCCTTTTCCAATGGCAAGTAAGTATCTGACGAATTACAAAGCCATTATTGTGATTATTTAAGTGCTAAAAATTGTAACTTATCACTGGAATGTTATGTTCCAGGTTTTCTTTCTTTCTTTCTTTCTTTTTCTTTCTTTCTTTCTTTCTTTCTTTCTTTCTTTCCTTCCTTCCTTCCTTCCTTCCTTCCTTCCTTCCTTCCTTCCTTCCTTC